TATTCTCATATATTCCACACTGACAAAATGGAGATGAATTTCCAACGTAATACGAATCGCGAAATAAATTACCACACATCATTGACGACGGGTTAAAGCAACGTAATATTTTTCATATCCTCTATATATTCTTATATCTTTTCACGTGTAAAGATAAATGACACAAACCAGTAATTTCCAACTAAATTCGTTTTAACGTCGGAGATATATAATAAATTACGAACATAGATAATATTAAATTTTGCTTAAAGAGTAAGAAACAGAAGATCAACTGATACGCGTAACTTCATTTAAAATAAATTACGATGACTATCGAATCTCCTACGCGCTCCTCCATCTGGGAAATATTACTTCTCCTTAATATAATTTAACAACAACTTGATAACAAATAATTTTTATTAAAAATATTTGTTCTTATTACTAACATTATAGACATTATTTAAATGGTCGATCTTAGTTAACTCGTCCTATATTATTTATATGCCTAATTGCCAGCTGTTTCTAGATAAAGTTCTTAGAAAGATAAGAGTCAAGTGGTATTCCGTAATGGATTTAAATTATATCGCGATTGCTTTCGCGTCGATAATTTCGTGAAATATTTTTATCTTTTATTAATAATAAGAAACTCTTAATTTCAGTTTTGTTATTTTATATAATCTCGAAAATTTTACCCATGTTATTTCATATGTGTATATGTGTGCGTAAATTCTGTGTGATTCTCTTTCGAGAATCTTCGCATGATCGATCAGCCGTTCGTTCCACCGGTTAAAGTGACAAATAGCGTTAGGTGTTACCTAAGCTAGTTACAGATCCTTCGGTAAATATAGACGGACAAACGTTTCCTAATTGTAGTGGGAATTGTTTACGCTACGCTTGCCACTCCTTCCCATTTTCTCTCATTCCTTCTCTTTCTCTTCCTCTTCCTCTTCCTCTTCCTCTTTCACGATTATTCCATGTTTACCTACACCGTTTCTTGCCTGGCTCTGTCATCTCTTCCGGAAGAACGGAAGACGGTAGAGGCAAAATTCTTGGTATGGACTCGGGCTACAGGTTCTAATTAAGATCTTAATGTTTACCGTTGGAGTAAAAATCGTTGCCAGAGTCTCGATAAATTAGCGAACGAAAGAACAAGAAATAATAGTAGAAAAAAAAAAACGGTCGTTGAACGAGCTCATTTACCCCGAGCAGTCAGTTTTGATTATGAAAACAAATAAAATAGGGGTTTGTTAGGCTATAGCACCTTCAATTTTATGAGATCTGTTATGTCTACCAGGGTAACTAAAGAAAAGAAATGGAAAATTATTCGAGAGTGCCAATTAACTTTACTTGACGTTCATGATTCGTTATAAAGTGTCAGAACAAAAGAATATTTTGTTTAGGAGGAAGAGAGAATGAGATAGCTAGAGAGAGAGAGAGAGAGGAATGAAAAGTGAGTATATGAATTGCGGTAAAACGTAATAACGAATGTGTGAGTATTCAAGCGGTCAAAAGCGTAGAAGTTTGGGCTCATAATCGACTAACGGTCGATTGTTCGACTTTATCGTGAACGCAAGTGACATGTACGCATTCTACCTCGATCATGGTTACAGCAACTGTGGCACTCAGCTATGTGGTGGCGATCGAAGTGCCATAAACCAAAACTATCGTGCTCTTCCTCCTACTGATAACAGATTTCTATTCATAATGTATCCTCGACAAATAGCGAGCTTATGATGCTCGTGATTCGAGCTAAGCGTATTACCGATTAGCTATATTAAAACGAGGATACACGTATATGCATCATAGATAGACGCTTTTACAGAGTCATAACGTTTATTCGTATGTACTTACGTATATACATACGTATGTATATAGAAGATATTACGAATAAGTAAGTAAACTTGTAACTTTCATACATCATAATATAAATTCAGATTTTTAATCCGTCTAACACAAAAATCATCATTACTAACTAGATTATCTTGGATAAATTATATATTCAATTTTAATATTGTATTTTGACATTTCTCTATAGGTAATCCATTATAATATGGTACGATATTCATTATACTTATCGAAGTGATCTTCAATCGTATACGATATTCATTCGCACTCGTTCAGAATCTAATCTCATCGACATTTTGTCAAAAACTTTATCGAACGTTAATTTCTTTCTCTATCAACGTAGAAAATATTTGGTCGATGTTTAATTTATTTTTTCTCTCTATATTTTATATTTATCTGTTATAAAAGAGCGACGAATCACTTAAAAACTTAACATATCGACGATATTTATCTATCAGGTCAACTGTTAATATATGTTAATTCGTGAAAATAAGTTAAAGACTTTAAGTAATGGAGAAAACTAGTAACTGTCATTCCGAGTCTTCTAGGGACGGTCAGCAAGCTGCGGGGGCTGCGATGGAAGTTTTCTGTTCGTCTAATTGTCCTAACGAGTGACCTCGCAGTTCGGTTGCCCTTTCCTCTCACCCTTTTATTGCTTTCAGCCCTTTGCACGTGCTCGTTATTTTATGTGATAGAATTTAGACGATTAAATTTATTCGAAAGACATGTAGTAAATAAAAGATATACAAAACGTAATGGACGATATATCGGAAAAGGGTATCAATGGGGAGGATTGATTAATTAATTATTAGCGAGGAAATAACATCTTTGTATGTAATAGATATTGAAAGGTATGAGGAGTGGTATTAAACCGTAAGACAAAATTAGTCGCAATCCGCATTGTTCTTGGCATTTCGCCGACGGCTTGTCCGCCTAACGCGATGAAGGAAGAGCCAACTAAATTTTCCATTCCGGAATATCGTACCTTCTCGAGTGAGCTCGTTAAGCTCGTTGAAATCAAGTTACTATTCTGTCCAGTGTTTCCAAAGTATATCCGTGGATAATTAATTGTTAAAGCATTGAGATACGGCGATTGTGCGAGCGCATCTCCTTGTGGCCGCCGTGTTCGCGACAGGTGGCAGGAATCGAGTAGTCTGACCAGTCGAGAGCTTCGTCCATCGAATGAATAATGCGAGCGTTCTTGGTTTGTATGCACTGATCTTAGTTGGAAGAGACCAAGGGAAAGAGAAAAAGAACTATAAGAGAAAGGAAGAAAGAAAAACAGGAAGAACGAACAGAAAGAGAAGAGAGAATCAGTGGTCTTGCTCGAAGGACGATTTCCAAGTCGGCATTTCGTTAATTATACGCGTGGAATGACATATATACTTATTTCGAATAGCAAGAGATACCGAATACAGGCAAATATAGATACTCTCTATGGTTTCATAGGCATAAACTTCTCCCATATACCAAAGTTTCAAATCGGACCCAAGCGAGCTCCCATTCATCGTCCATCGGACTGCTTCGTAACATCAGCAGTCCCATTCACGACGGTGAAACGTGCTTTGCAGTAAATTAACGTTACGCCAGACGCGCGTCTGCTCATTGCCAAGTGATATACCCACACATTTGCGAGAATTGCGTACTACCTTGTTAATTGAAACCTCGTAAGACTAAGTTCTGCTTTCAAAATGATTTTACGACCAGAGGAGCTCGGCTCGTTTTATAAAAAGATAACACGCAAGTGAAACTTTGGATTAATGAAGGCTTATTGTTTGCCGCCTGAATAATAATTAATCGGAATTTGTAATCAGATCGTTGGATGATCCAAAGTTTGCTTTTCGCTTGCTACTTTTTTTTCGTTTATTTATTCGTTTACTTTTTATCCCATCTTCGTTTATATGTACTCCTTTTGTTATCGATAAATCTGTTCAAGTCTGATCAAATTTCATGCCTGTTAGAAGCGATATTGCGTTGACATGTATCCAGCAATTGACTTAATGATTCGAGGGAATCTAGTCTCGCTGCAAACCTAAGTGCATACACGAACTACATATTGAACGGTTACATGGTTAGCAAGCGGCTGAGCAAACTGCAGACAACGGTCTTGACAATGAGAAAGCTAATCTCTCTCAAGTAGTAAATGATAAATTCTTAGAGAAATCGTGTCTTATGAAAAATATGCAGTTTTCTTTTATTAATTTCGAAATAATTCAATTATTAATTTAAATTCATGATATATATAATCATGAACAAATACCTATTTCGTAAAAAAGATTTATAACGAGGAAATATTTCGTGTAACGTTAAATCTAATTAAATTCAATAAACCATTATAAGCTTGAATATTTAAGCTTGAAACGAAAAATGATAACAATGTCTGTATATATATATCGATTAAACTATGTAGTACGGTTATAGAGGGTTAATGTTCCCTGCTGAGTGCTTCGCACGTGTACGCGCACCTACACATATAAATCGATGATGGCACGTATATAGCAACCGAGAACGCCAGCAAGTATAGTAGGTATGTTTGTGATGAACAGTGTACACATAGCAAGGTCGTTGAATTAGATGGAGATGACTTGCTCATGAATTACGGAGGTCATCGTTTATTCTGAAATCGAGGTCAAACATCTAACTGATGATCCAAGTCCATCTTTGGCAATTATTATAACTTGGTTTTATTCGGAAGAAAATATTGAACGATTTTCAAGAAATTGATTTATTATTACGTTTCTCGCAATTCTAGGAAAGTAAGGAAATAAACATATCTAGTATAGATATCTCTCTTGTTTTGCACTTAACGAACATTGCAAATATTTGCTTCGTCGTATCAATAAATCTATAATCATTTTATTTTCTTATTACTTTTATATGAGTCAAATATTAAAAATAGAATTCTCAAGCGGGTACTGTTTTCCAGCTAACATTAGTAACGAAAAAAATGTTTTCTATACTTTCTTCGGTTAATCTTCTTATTTTTCTGTAAATTATTATTAATTGAGTACTTGTGAGGATTATCTGTTTTGATCTATATTATCTTTCGCTTTATCTTAAATTAGGTATTACTCATGTAATACTGAAAATATAACAATAGAAAAGATTGAAAACACTAGATTAACAGTATAATGTATCACAAGAGCATGGAGTTCTTCGAAAAAGAATTTCCAGAAATGTACTGTAAATCGATACAGATAACTCGCGATAACAGAGATAAGAAACTCTTGATGTGTATTTAAGCGGAGCGTTGACGTACTTTCAGCATAGTCGAGCTAATTCTTTCTTGAGTAAAGGTAGAACAGTGCTAGAATAAAGATAGAATCAAGATGTTTGCGCAAAAGTTTGTAATCTTCATGGCTGTGATGGTGGCCGCAGTAGTAGCGGTGGAATACGTTCCAAGAGCTTATTTCGAACCATTTGCCGCCAACAAAGCTCACAATCTTACCATTGGATACAGAGTACCAGGAGACAGGCTTGTCCTTAGATCAAACATCTCAAAAAAATCTTCATGGTTGCAAGTCGTGACTACTGAAACAACCCTTAACGTAAGCAGATACGATCGCATCACTATGGTCGGTGCATACGATCAAAAATCCGATGGTACGGGAGCTTACGCTAGTCTACTGAAGGGTGGCCCTGGATACGCAAACGTCACTTTGCGTTTCAAGAGTCAAAGGAATCATGGCATCAACTTCGTCGTCGAAGTTTACGCAAAATAATAAGAAGGACAGGATGTTACTGCTGGACCCGTAAATTTATGATGTCACTGCAACAGTACTATCTTTCAACGCATAATATTCTCTCGACAATTCTATATTCATAATATATAACAACATTTATATAACATTTTTCTGTTAATTGTATAACATCATTATTGAAATTGTCTGTTTCGTATTATGCGATATTGGAGAATAAATAATAAGAGCTAAGCTCTGATCATCTTACAATTTTAATTGGAAATAAATATCAATATACGTTTGATATCTTGACAAGATTAATTGGAAATAGCCCTTTTGTAAATTTATACGATCTTGTTGTAATTTATCCTCCTGAGATGGAAAATGCATCGGGGATTTCTGAATCTCTCCTTTTTTTTCTTTTCTTCCTTCCTTCTTTCCTTCCTTCGTTACTTTCGAGAAATGAGAGACATTTACGCTCTAGGTAGCATCGATAATAATGCGATTAACGCGAAAGGACAGAGATCCGGGAGAAAAACAGAACGAGAAGAATTCGCTAGTGGAATGCCTTTCTTGTACGCGCTAATGAAGGAGCCTGCTCCTTATTGAGTCTCTCAATAATTCCTTGCTATTTTTCTCTTCTCTTTTTTCATACTATTCTCTCTTTCTCTTATTTTCTATTTTTTGTTTTTCGTGCCTATCGAGTAAACACAACGAACTTGTTCCCCGTTCATGCTGTTTTTAAAAAAGAAAAAAAGAGTCGAGTTAGTGAGAGTGAGAAAGAGTGACCTTTCTTCGAAAAGGTTCACACAATATAATACAAGTTTTCATGTAACTATGTATATTCAGAATATTGAACACGAAGTAGGAAAAACCAGCTTGGAAATTGTTGCCATTCTGTGCTTGCTTTCATAGTGTCCAGTTGTAGAGCAATATTGTGAATCGTATCAAAATCATCAAAATTGTACAAGAAAATATCTTCGAGCTCGCCATACGACTTTTTTTTTATCTCAATCTAGTTATTTTATCTTTTTTCTTTCTCTCTCTCTCTCTCTCCCTTCTTACAGTACACCTACGGTCGCACGTAAAAACATTTGTTCTTATTTTCCATCTAAAAGGTAAACGAAAAATCTTATTCAATATAACAAATGGTATAAAGACTCTATAGATTTACATTGATTAAATTAAATTATTTTTTAACGTATTCTCAAGAGAAAAGTGATTAGAATTGGATCGAAAAATAAACATCGAGCGTTACTATCGAAATTGGTGTACATTGATTTATTTATCCATCCCTATCTCACTCATTCCTGCGATAAAAATATTGCATAGTTTGCATACTCACGACTACAATAATTCATAATTTTTTCTCTATTACTTTCTCTAAACAACACAATATATCTCTTATTTATCAGATTTATAAAAAACTTTATATCCATTATCTTAGCATTATAAGTAATAAGATAAATAAGATGGTAATCTTTTGAAATTTATAAGCAATACATTTCGAATATAGTTAATTGCAGTGATATATTTCGACAAATTTTGAAATTAAATTGCTTGGTCCGAAAATAGTTATTCAATATCATTGATTTATCGTTAATTCATAACTGTATAAAAATATAAAAGCCCGTTTTATGTTTATTCGTGATATATTTTCGATCTAAATCTGTATCGTTATCGATCTTTTTAAACATTGGTCGAGTATATCTGCGTATTAGTGATAATAATCTTTTAATGTTCATTAGAAATACATACATTCGATCACAGAAATATCTCTACAGTCATATTACTTAAATTAAATACACAGAGGACTCTACTTACTCTAAAAACACTTATTTGATTTTTATTATAGACTGTAGATACTATATACGAATATAGAAAGACTAAGTTCTGCTATTTGTGTTCTTTTTACATCGGAATATTCTAAACTAGACTTTTGAAGTTATTGTTAGAATTGATAATGACTTATCTAGAAACTCGTAAGAAGTTGAGAGTTACTTTTAAGTTTATTTTATTTTTTTCTTTAGACAGGTGGAAAGCCAGATCACATATCGCGCATACATTGATCCGAATATCGCAGGTATATTTTTCTTTTCTTTCTTCGTAATCATAAATCGAGGTACTTGTAGTTATATGTGAACAATAACACACATAAAGCATGTTATTTCTATCCATAGTATATACAGGTTTTCGAACTTTCTCAGTTATTGTCGCGTTCTATTCTTTGCAAACGTTACGAAGAGACGTAATAATATCCACGATCGTTTATTCTTAGTAAAGAGAAATTGAGGTCCAAGGTGCTATATGCGAGTGATAAAGTTTACAGATCGACTTGCCTTTGTGAATGGTAGCATGTGTTCTCATAGCTGAAATAGTAACGTCATTCATTATGCATCATAAGATTGTATAAAAATAAGAATTCTTCTATTACCGTGCTATGTTCCTCCGTTGACATTATTGTGACCTATGTCTACAACATTATCGATGTTACTAAAGTTCTATTTTAAAAGACGAATGAATTCTTAGACTTTATGATATTCTTATACTTTACTTTGATGAAATAGGTTATTATAATTATTTTTATATACATAGGTACTCTATTTCTTAATTTATTCTTTTCCAGAATGTGTGTATCAATATTTTATAGAAAATGATTTATTTAATAAGAGTTACAAATATTTCTAATTTTGTTTTTTTTTTTTTTATAGAGAGATACGAGAAACAAATTCATTGGATTTGATGATATATATTTCTAAAAATACAAAAGAGAAACAAAGTACCTCTTAAAAGGATAACTCGGGATGAGAAATTGCATACTCTTTGCGTTTGTTGGTAGTCATAGGAAAAGCCACGACTATAAAATATACTGCGGTCATAAAAAGAAAATTCAAGTCGTAGCAATTTGACCGAAAGTAGAAGGAAGATTTTCTGCGAAGAAAAAACGCGCAAAGAGTAACGCGTACGATCATAAACCCGTAACAACATGCATTCGTTCGGTTATCGTTTTTAAAGTCGTGATACCGAAAAATGTACATATCTATATATAATATTATACATACAGCTATGAAAACGATGCTGGATAAGTAGATTAACGTCCTGATGACGGAATCATGCAGGAATGTGAGATTAAAAAAGAACAGACACACTCGTGTTAAGTTTTGTACTCTTACGAAAGAATTGTACGTCAATTTTTATAACAGCGGCAGGTATTCGTTATTTGATAATTCGAAAAGTAACATAATCATTTCTATTTATTATTGTGAAAAAATAACTTTACTCTAACGACATTACCACCACCTTCTAACTTTTCTTATCTTTTTTTTTAACGCGTGAAGTAGACAATAAATACTCGACGTGTAATTTTGATGAAACATTTTGCATATTATTTGACACGAATGACGTTAATACAAATGCCATTCAAGATACGCCCGCAATGGTTTTCTAAACTTGAATCCCTAGTTAAATGTTTCATTGACATAAAAGTAATAGAAAGGGATAGAAGTATAGAAATAAGCGACAAGTACGAATATGAAGTGTGCATTATGCATCAACGATGAAATCGCAAGTATTACGCAGCAAAGTCCCGAGTAAAATGCTTTTAATGGATTGACTGTCTGACTTGCAAGTTCTGTTAGAACGTTAACATAGCATAACTCGCTTGGATTTTTGTCGAGTTCACTCCATATTGCTGGTCAAAATGTTCAATCTATCGTTCTCTTCTTGGATGAAATCGGGAACGTTTATTTTTACTTGTCGCTACGAGAGTGCTTCTTTTATAGATATATTTTGATAGAGAAGTACCATATATTGGTATAGTAGTGTATCGCTCATTGGTACTTATGGTATTGACGATCATGATCTTGTGAGAGTTCAGATATCAGATCCTCGATCCTTTGATGCTAATCCTGCCTGTTGATTGGCCGCAAATGCAAGATCAGAGACTGGACATTGACAGGGTTTCCACGTGGATCAACTGTGGCGACCATGTGGTCAGCTCGTTAACTGATATGAACTGTACATCCACATAGGGTAATTGACGTTTGTGTATATGTGATGAGCGTTTGCTAATATCCTTTGACAGGATTACTCGAGAAGGAACTGAATCGACATGATTATCGTATTGGAAAGAAAAGATCCCGACGTATTTGATCGAAGTTGCTTTAGGATGCATCTGTCGATGAAAATTACAATAGAAAAAAGTCTGATAGATTTGGACGTTCTATTTCGTACAGCGTGACCTTTCGTTTATGAAAAAAAAAAAAGAAAAAAAAAAAAAAGAGTTACATCCTTGATGAACTATGAGATTAATTATTTCTTCTACGATAATATGACATTAGCATATTAGCTGAATTGCAGTGTACGTTGCACTCTAGAAAATGGCGTGACATATCGGGCGAGACTCGAGAGAAGGCAAAGGACGCAAAGTGGTGGGCGTTTAGACAGGTAGATAAACTATGAACGATGGTAATAGCCGACGGAGGCATAAGGGTTTTACGTCAATGAATACTACCCTGACATTTCGGTGCCTTTGCGTCTATCGATTTCGTTCTACCTCGACATCTCGCGTAATTCCTAGTAGAATAAGAAGCTTACCGAGTATTGACATATCGCGACACTCTTGTCTCCTCTCATTATCGATTATTTCATTTCACCTTACCTTTCGTGATTGAATCGAAACGATTCTGCGAAAATAGATTGTACGCGGGTTACTCCCGATAATAATCAAATTTACATATCGAAGCGTCAAAATAATCTACATTATGATAGAATCGTTATAAAGATGTTCATACCGACGTTATATGCTATTTTTGTAAAGCGAGTTTCCCCTCGATACTCTGGAAGTTTACATCTGTCCGCAAAAAGGTTTAGAACGGATTGCGAATGACGTAGAAAACACGAGTATGTTTGCATACGAGAAACACGGAGGGACATTTCGGAGCCAACTCGTAGTTTCTCGTTCTGGTCAGTGGAAAAGGCTCGTATATGCCAGTTGGATAACTTATGTCACGGAGCGTGGGTATACGGAACGGTATCGATCCTAGCATTAAATATTTAATCGTAGAAAGAAAGTTCAATACACGTACGATGAGGACGGTTGTCTTCCCAAGATAGGCCTGTATTCTTGAAACGAATACTATTATAGGAACGAACTAGCACGTGACTATGCTTTGTTCGTTCGACGTTTACTAAGAGACAGAAAAACTTTTATTACTTATTGTTAGAATCGTACCTACGACTTTTGTTGACGTTCGAAACAGATAAAAAGAGTAAGTACTTTTCTCTTTAAGGACAAAAAAAAAACAAACAAATTTCGTGTTAATCTTAAAACGATTCCATTGTAGACATATAGATTTGCGCAGATAAATATTTACAAATCCCATTTTCGTCGAATAAAATAGAATTCAGCTATATAGTTATCTCGATTACTCTTCGCTAACGAGCTCACAGCTCGATTCCGGATCGAGTCGTTGAACCTAGCAGGGTAGTTGCGTTCGATCGTAAAAATTGATCTTGATGTGTCGCACTGTGATTGATTACCGTATCTCGTGTTGTAGCTATGCGCGTGTATCGCTTCTTTTTTGTTTAGGGTTACATACTAAGCGTTGGTATTCCCTTTTTTTTTTATTTCTCTCTTCACACGTTCAACTTGAGATTACTGAAAATATAAAACGTAGAAATCTCCCGGCCACAAAAAAGAAAAATATAATTGTAAGATTCGTGAGAAAAAATGGAGTCGCTGGACTGACTGGACCGGGACTCGAACACAGAATTTTTCGCTTTTCAGGTAACTGATCTATCCATTGAGCTATCCATCCAGTGCTCACGGATCAACTTTCTCACGAATCCATATTAATGTATAATATTTGGCATAGAGGCGTTAGATTCTGCATAACTTATACCGAAACGTGCTGATAAAACTGATAATATCGGAAATTCATGGATTTGATCTGATGCGAGAAGAAAAAAGCTTGATATTTTTCAGACACATGTTATGCAATTTTGAATGCACACGTCCGTATATTGCAAATCTCAAAATAAGCAGGAAATGTCTAGTCGATGTTTAAGAACGAACACGACGGAAGATTTAACACAAATAATGTCAGAATTATTCCTATTTTCGTTGATTTAATTTTTGAATGACGGAAATTCTCCGTGAAATCAGACCTCTGCTTTTATAACTAGTTATGCATGTTCCAGTTAATAATTACAGGAAATATCTAAGGCATATTTTGTTATGAATTTTCTTAAATATACCATTACGATCAGCTAACAATACCGTATTCATTGGGATCTAAACGAACAATCGTTAAAATTTCATCTCATGATATTACTTCGGAAGCGAACCGCGTATAAAATGTGCGTTCATTGCCGCGAATTTCACTTTGATTTTATTGATATCGACATTGACGTCAAAATCGTTATAACGAATCGCACGAAATTATCTACATATGGATATCTATTACATAGATAGTTATATCTGTGTATCTATATGTGTTTTTATCGTAACAGATGCAATTCTTTGATTTAATGTCGAACCGTGTATTTGTGAAATAGAGAGGCGACGGACGCGAGTTGGCGTTTCGAAATTAAATGGTTTAATTCTCCAGTAGAGTTATTTACGCGGTTGCTCATCATTTTTGTATAATATTGATGGGAAGTTACATTAACAAGAGAATAGATTTATATAAAAATATTGTTAATTAAATTATTATGAAGAAAATTATTGTATGAAAGCAGATTCCTCCAACATGGATTCCTCTGGTAATTGGAATAGGCTGGTGATGAGGAAAGCAAGGGTTTAATTAAAAAAGTAAATAAGAACGTTGTTGAGCCCCTCAATAGATCAGCTCACATTAGATAAAAGATTTACGTCATAAAAATCCTTGATTCATTATATAAGAATATAAGAATGAACAGTATCCAACCAAAATGTCAGACACGTGTCTCACTTCTCAATTACTTCGTCGCTTCTCAAAGTTTTACCTTTCTAGTATAAAGGGTTTATAGGTGGTACCTCTATCCTGTTCGTCCTGTCGTTTCGATACTTCCCTCAATGCGAACTCACTCTCTTGTCTTGTCTTACCACTTCCTAGGTACGCAGATTCCTCCATTCTGGAGTCTTCTGGTAATTGGGGTAAGGATGGATTGGATATAACACTTATGCGTTGAATTCGTCTTGCTGGCTACAAAGTGTCTTTGTGTGGCGATAACAATGAAATGATCCTGCTTCCAATCAAAGATATGTTCTTCTGAGTGTCTGGCAGAAGAATTGAGCGAACGCTTTTGGGTGCTGGCCTAATAGGCCTCGCTACAATTCCGTGAAGTGTAAAGATGCGGGGAAAATTAGCGTTTCAGAAAATTTTGGAAAAATTGACACACATGATTTTGAAATATACATTAAGAATATCGTAGAAGTATACTTTTAATAAATAACAATAATTTATCTGCCAACACATCTTATTTAATTTTACGCTCGTCAATGATCAAGACAATTTAAGCGAGTCGATGAAATTCATTATGAATGAAAGATTTAACGAGACTTTATGCTTAATGAGAGAAAGATAAAGAAAATGAGGACGATAAATAGGATGCTGATAGGATCTTTCGAGAGTCAGCGTAACCAGCAAGTTTTTTGCGTGGTTCCTCCGTGATCTTCCTTCTTTCGTGTTACACTTTTAAAAGTGTTTTTAGATAAGGAGACTTTAATATCCCAAGAGCTCGCGTTTTGCTGTTGGCTTTCCCGTATAGGCGTCATGCAATCCTCGGTGCTCCGATTCTACCAGATGTAATACTATTTATTTGTTAATTCGATGGAAAACAATTTTGAAAGAATGAAATACAATTTTAAAACGTAATCATTATTTAGGATTTTTAATCGAATCGAAATTAATTGAAAGTATATAAAGGACATGATAAATACTTAAGGATCTATTGTAAGAGAAATAAAGAAATCGGTTTTTGAATAAAGAAATGAATACTGGACGAGAGCGATGTGTGTGTCTCTTTAAAATATAGATACTAGAGAGATATCGCGCAACCTGGAATTGTAGTGCGCTGGCTGAAATTAAAACAGTAATGATTTTCCGGGCGTTAATTACGCGACACATGCACGAGTCTTGCAAACCCCCTAATGAGAGGGGTTGTGTCGCGCCGTCTAGCTCGCGAAAAATACTCTTTCTCCTTCCCCAACGCTCGTTGCGAAGTGAAGAATATTTCATACGTTCCTTTCTCTCACACACCCACACACACCCTCTCTCTCTCTCTCTCTCTCTCTCTCTCTCTCTTTCTATTTATATATCTAACTCTTTCTGTCTCTGCATTTTTTTGTGTATACCACCCGTGAAGAGTACTTAACATACAAATTTATCTCGCATACGTCTTAGAGACAAAAGGGACGAGGGTGTCGCTAGGAGACATTCCGGAAGCTTTAAAAAAGAAAACGTAGCTTGCTCTTTCGATCGTCCGAACTCGGAGAAAACGCAGGGAGAACGTGTCGAGATTACGCTTGGCGACAACAGATACGAATCGTGAAATTTGAAAAGGCTTTGTCGTGATCCGTTACGTTGGGTGCGGGTATAACCTACATTTATGGTGTGAGAGAGAGAGGTGCAAAGCTCTTTTGAGAGTACGCGAAAGTACAAAAAATGTGTGGATACAGCATACACCCACGCACGCACGCACGCACGCACGCACGCACATACAAGCCTACATACAGTTCTTGCACTCTCGCGTTTCGAAATAAATATGAAACTACAAAATTAAGGAATATGGATGAACGGGTCCTTTGATGTTACTGAATCGTTTTATAATATTTCTGAATATAAGGGAAAGTTTAACAGATAAATATTTTAATGCACTTTGTTTTCGAATATAATATAAAAAGCAAGAATCAAAAGGTGATATTTTTATTTGGTTATCCGTTATGAATACGTACGGGAATACATACCGCTATGAATATTTTCCAATTTATGCAAAACAGAATTGGGGTCGTTAAATAAACTATCAGTGTTTAAAATAAAAATATATTTACATATCTACATGTGTGTGTATTCCATAAAAACCAGTTGAAAGTTAGCTACATTTTCATGTCTATCATCAATTGTTTGACAAACTTTTCCTATGAATTGACCTCTTTCGATAACCGTCAGGTTTATTATACGTACTAACATCAAACAAGTGATAATACGGTGGTCACCCACTGTATAAAAACGATCTTTCTCCTTTGATCTCTTTCAAAAACCAAAAGTAACAAAATTCAAATACATACGGTTCCTATCAACCAATCATATATTTATCAGCAGATACTTACATATTTACGATTGGTAAAACGAAAGTAAGAATTTATTTTATCGAATGCGAAAAGGAAAAAAGCTGTCATTTAATGTCGTATACGCTTTGATTGGAGAGAAAAAGATCGAAAAAGATAAAAAGAGAGAGAGAGATGTATCTATACAAGGATTGGAAAGACAGACCAATTGGTGGAAAAAAAAAGAGGAAAAAATAGAGAAATATATATAGTATCTTAGCTTCGTCTAAGCGTATTTCGCGTCATGGAAGGAATCCTATCGCAACCCTATATTCGAAGGTGGCAGTGCGAGGGTTGAAGAAGAGACAGAAACAAGGAAGAAAAGAGAGAGAGGGAGAGAGAAGAAGGATAGGTATTCGTTCGTTCGCTTCCTCCTCACCGTACGGAAGTCTACGCTCGCAGGGGGTGCTTTTACCGGCTCGCGGATAGTACCGGTAAGTATATACTGGTGTGTGTGAGCGCTTGCGCGCGTCGCTATCTTTCTCTTTCTCTTTCTAGCACATAAACATGCGCCCGCGCGTTACGTGGTGGTGTGGTGGTGGTGGTGGTGCGACTACCCCAGACGAAGTGCAAGAGAGAGAAAGAGAAAGAGAAAGAGAGAGAGAGAGAGAGAGTGACAAAGCGGTACTGGTGGTGTACGTGCGAGAAAGAGAAAGAAAGAAAGGGAGAGAGTGAGTGAGAGTGAGAGAGAGAGAGAGAGAGATGAAAGGAGAAGAGCGTCGCGTGGGGAACGATCGCGGCTCGTCATTCGAAGCCCGCCAACGGACGAGCGAGCAACCACGGAACGGGACCCCGCGATCCTTTTTTGACACGACGAGAAAGGATAAGAGGAAGGAAAAAAGAGTTGCATAGCGTAAACACGCACGATACACGTGTAGAATTTTTTTCTTACGATTTAATACCATCGATATTAACACCCTCGTGAGTGAGTTTCAGAGTGAGAGGGGTACAGAGAGAGAAACAGTGCCATATCTCAATTCGTCGTCGTTAATTCAACAACAACAAAAACAACAACAACAACAACAACAGATCTTTGTTGCATTAATATTTTCCTTCGTCCCTCTGTTCGACGAAATTTAACCGAAAATCGTTGTTTTTGACATTTGACAACTTGGGTTACCAGTTTGCCTATTGATACGGATATCTTGTTTGTTGTTCGGCTGCTACTACATCGTCGAAAAAAGTGTGAAAACAGTGACGTAGAGGAGAAGAGAGAGATATTTTATTGATAGAAAAATACGAGGAGAGGTGTTGTCCGTAAGAGGAAAAGAAACATTAGAGGTTTTATTTATTTGTCACTCTGATGACAGTATACAGCGTTCTTTTTCTCTCTTACTCTCTATCTCTTTCTCTCCTTGTATGTATGTATCGAGCTCTTTAAAAGTAGTAAAGAAGTATAACAAGGTCTTTCGAAACGAAGGATAGAGAGAAAGTTAACGCAGCTGGTGGTGTTGTTAGAAAAAATCTTCACTACTTGCTTTCTCCCCGAGTCCTTATCGGCTGGTGAGAATCACAAAAGAGTTTAAACATCGACTGCTACTATTACTACTATTACTACTACTACTACTACTATTACTACTTATTTTTTTCGAAACGTATTGCCGACCAATCGGGCAAGGTATTTCACGTGCGTTTATCAGCGCCACCAACGAGGAAAATCGAGCAGTGCTTAAGGATCGTTCGAACGTGTCGTGTCGTGTGTTTTGAAAGATCTATTAAAAACGTGTTTACCGTCAATAAAAGAAGATTTTGTGTTCGTTCGTTCGTTCGTTAAGAAAAACTCGCCACGCGACGCGAACGCGAGTGCATCGTGTCAACCGATTCTTTTCATCGGGAAGATAAGAAACGAGAAAGAAAAAGAAAAAGAATACTATCCTCCAACAGGATACCTCAGAGCATTATCTCGCTATCAACTCAAATTCCAACGCTTGTGCAGTGATTCCATATTATTATTACGAATAACCAATCGATAATTCATACGCGATATTTCTTCCTCGACATTTCGTTAGAAATTTGAAGACAATCGGATTAACGGTAATCGCGCGACACCTGATTTTTCCATCACTTGGTTTGTGGTATTGTCCCAAGGATATTTTCATTTGATCACGTGTAATCAAAGTTTTGTGTGTCGTAGTTAAAACGAGAAAAAGTTTTGGCATATGGTATAATAATCGTGATAAACGACGAGTGACGTTTCGAATAATTATATAGTGGAAAAAGTGGAAGGAAGAAAGAAATAAAGAAAGAAATAATAAATCGTCGTGTTGTTGTTGTTCGAACAATAATATAATTATCATTGTTTATACAAGTACATCGAATTTCGTGTTAAATAACAGTTAAACGTGATCCTCGCGAGTGTGCCAACAATTTAGGAAAAGAAGATCTTGGATAAGATACGTCGTCTCTTCTTTTTATCTCTTTTTCTCTCTCTCTCTCACTGTCTCTCGCTCTGTCTCTCTCTCTTTCTCTCTCTCTTTTCTCTCTCTACCTCATCTTGATTCTTTTCGAAATATCAAGTGGGTATTTATTTACGCTTGGTGCACGCCGGTTTACAGAAGGAAACAACCGTAGCAATCGATTTGTAATCCGTTAAATCTACGTCCTTATTCACGTGTGTGCTTTTCTGTGTGCGTGTTGATCGTTTTGTCGTTCGATACATCGTTATAATTTCACGCTCGCTCGTTGTCCGTGTTAACGATCGATAGCTCGTTCGTAATTATCGTCGAGCCGCGCTAGCCGGAACATCTGGTGCACCTCTCCGTCTATCATCGTGTCTTCGAAAACACCGGCAACCGAACGCAACGTAAAGTGAACGAACGAACGAACGAGCGAGCGAACTAACGGGCATACATTTATTTTATTCGAATTTGCAAATTCAAGATTAACGCTTACCCTCGCCGAATTTCTAACGCGCTACGCGAGTGCAGTGTGCTACGAAATTAGACGCGAATCGGTTCGAATTCAGAAGTCATCGGGACGAATACCTGGACATTGTCTCATCGGTCACTCGCCAAAGGTAAGAATCTTTTTTCTATTATAAATATTATTTTTACAGGAATTTGGACTTTTTGAAGTTATACTTCTTTTGGCGCGTTTTGGAAAATGAATTTAGATGCGACCGATAAATCGACACCACGAAGTTATATATATATATTAATTCAAACCTTTATCAATGGTATTTAATATCTTCATTTTATTTTATCATATTATCGTTTTTTCGACAAATGTAGAGTATTATATTGGTACGCGAGATAATTGAAGTTATTTTTGAGGTTATTTTGGTTATGTTCGTTTTGGTTCGTACGTAAGTACACACACCAGTTTTTTTTTTTAATTAACACATTCCATGCCAAAAATTGATTTTCAATATTGTTGCGTATTAAATATTATCACACGCGTATTGTCTCGATCTAACACTTAAATCTCATATATATATATATATATATATATGATTTACACTTTATCTCTGTCCATTATGTACGTCAAATTAATACACATTGGTGTAGTATATACTAGTATACATCGGATAAAAATAAGAAATGAAGCTATACAGATAAAATGATTTTCTTCAAATCGTAATTAAATTCACATATAAAAATCGTAACAACAATTTCGAATTGTTCGAAACGAAAAGTTTAGATTGGGACACGTATGCGAATAATGCGGTATATAACGTGTTAATAAGAATTACTTATGTTTATACAGGATCTAGCGAAAATAAGTTTTCCATATAAATTTAAAAATGTTTCCGAACCTACGTTGATTTCCATAAATTATTTTTACTCTTTACGTATGAAAAATCCGTTTCTAACGGTTCAGCCGTGTATTTGTGTTGCATCCTATATATTAGAAAAAGTTCTACACTTGTATCTGTATTTGTTTTAATTTTATTTACTTTTAAATATCATGTTATATTATAGAAACACACCGGTTACATAAATAATCTTTTAATAATTATATATATATATTATATAAACATAGATTTGTTTCTTTTCCATGTATTTCTCACGTACAAGTTAAATTTCCCCAAGCAATTACTTCTCTCTTTTTCTCTCTCTCTCTCTCTCTCTCTCTCTCTCTCTCTCTCTGAGGGAAGATTAGCTCCTAAGGAAGGAGTTCGCGATGATGTCGTTAAATTAATCGTCTTCGTTCGACGTTACCGCCCTTACGAATTTGTATGTTCGTAACTATCTACTACATGATAGTAAAATGAATTGGTGTAAAGTGATTAGCGAGTCAAAACTATCGGTCCTACGCGTTATCGGGTAAGTTGCACAAACTCGATCGAAGGAGACCTTGATAACCGAAGGAGAAGTTTACGTTTTATCAAACGAGTTGAGGTACGACCATCTTAGGAAGTTAATTCCGTGAAACGACAGTGAGAAGTCCGCGAGAAACGAAGAAAATGAAACACGAACGAGAAAATGACGACGTGGTAGAAAAGGAAGAAGGATACTGGAAAGATCTCAGCACAGTATACCCTTAATGGTCTTTTTCTTTCACGGATATATACAGTTTTATGTTTCACGTTTGTCTCCTCCACGTCCTTTTCTCGAACGATTCTCTTTCATAAACGTACTTTTCACAACAAAGAAAACGATAAACTTTCCTGATCGTTCCCCTCTTGATAGAAATAAGCTTTGTATCGTGCTGGATAATATTATAAAGTGGAAATATTCGGTTAAAGAAAAATACGAGAGAAAATATTTCTACATTATTTCTATGTTATTTACTTTTTTTTTTACTAATTCTCGAAAATTCTCCAAATAAGCCGTTTAAGTAAAACAAATGACCATTAGGGAAATTCGCCGAAATGTTTTAGTTTAAAAAAGATGCAAAAAATAAAATAGGATTTTGTAAATGTGTCTATAAACGGGAGTAACGTATATATATATATATATATATATATATATATATATATAGAATAATTGTTATTATAACTGCTAATTATTTTGACTGAACGTTAAATGGTCCATATGTATGTTTATTATTTATAATGAATATGTATCTCTATCTAATATTAATATATTATATTTATGGATATAAATGAATATTATAATTCTATCATATAAACTTGTCTAACAATGAGTTCACTCTTCACACATGATTCCCTCAAATTTAATAGCATTTAAATCTGTTTAAGAATATATGATTAATTATTCATTTAATTTATAAAAAGTTTATTATTGTCTTATATATTTTAAATCGAAATAACGATAATTATTAAAAAATGTAGAATTCATTATTCTTTCGTATTTTCATTCCCCACAAAATAAATTGATAAGATAATTCAAAAAAGGAAATTAAATTGAGTCAAATTAATGCGATAACTGAATAAGAAATAGGTATGGAGAGTAAAAAATATAACCGTTTTACCGCAAAATGTCGTGACTAGAGACACAAACGTGACTGCAATAACCGCATTTTAGCGTCGTTTAAGTTGCGTTGTTCTCTTTCGATCGACACTTTTATCGGCTTACTCCTTCGTAGGATCGACGCTTAACACGGCTTATTACTATCGATACGCTCTTCGTTATAGTTAACTGAATCGAACTTCTCCCTATCTATCCTTCGCGTTTCTCAATTATTGTCTCGGTGAATCCATTAGAATTCCCAGCTCGTATCCGCTACCTGGGAGCGGCTGACTTCGAAGCTATACGAAGTTTGTTTCTTTTCTTTTGTTGTTGTTGTTGTTGTTGTTCTTCTTCTTCTTCTTCTTCCTCCTCTCATCGTTCTCTTTCTCTTCTCTTCTCTTCTCGTCGTTTTAGTTTTATTGTTTGGTAGCGACTTACAGATTTGCCACCCTTCTCGTTCATTCTTTCACAATCATTTCTCTTCCCAACCTGTCTCTCATTCTTTTTCTATTTTTCTCTTTCTTTCTTATTCCCTTTCCTAAGTTCTTTTCCGTAATCCATTCGTTCAGGGAGATCTTACCCGCCTTTATTTTCGTACTCCTCTTAGATAGAAGGACTCTTAACCTTCGTTAGTACCAGTTGCCACTTTTCCCGTTGCAATATACCCGTACCCTATCTTCTACCCTCCCCCCTTCATTAGTCTTTCTCTCTCTCTCTCTCTTAGTCAGCTTTCTAGTTCCAGCTCTTACCAGTTGAGGTCCCGGACCCGTTAATCCATTTTTAGATTATCGAGGTACCTTTAAACGCGAGTGCTTTCGAAGCGGTAAAGTTAAAAGCGTGAAGATTAAGTTTAGAACCGGGTAGGTTAGCGGAAACGAAGTTTTCGCCTCCTTCGAACGTATTAGAGATCGAGTTTACGACTCGCGATCTCGCGTGAGTAGAGACGCGAACCTAACCGCCCTGTTTGCTTTTGATCTAACTGTTTTGCACGAAAACATCTTATACTTTTCCTCAAACTAACAGCATGTGATGGATGCGTCGACTTGTCTCGGGAGTTTTTTTTGACTTTGTTAGAAGCAAAATGATGGGGAACGAAGTTATTTATACCCTTAACTTAACTTTCTTTCATTTCATCTAATTTGTGTGGGTTTAAATTTTGCAGGTGACCGACAGGACGCAGACTTTTTTCTTGGAAGCGGTACGCAAACGGTCTCAAGATTCAGCTCGACACGATGCCTTGGTTCATCCTATTTCTCCTGCTGTTGGCTGTGATGGAGGCCTTCCCTCGGGAGGCCACCTGTTCCCACCTGCCGGACATCTATTGGAACTCCACCAATCCAATGTAAGTCACGATTCTTTTCTTTTTCTTTTTCTTATTTTTTTTTTTTTCTTTTTTACTTTTAGCATATATCCAACATTTCGACCTGTCAAAGCCAAAGAAAGTTGGCTTTGTTCTTAATTCGCTATACCACGAGATAGAATATGCGAGATGATGCGAAACGAATCGTTGTCATTCGAAGAAAACAATAAAAAGATAGAAGGAAGAAAGATTGCAGGGTGGGAGGGAGAAAGGTGACAGAAAAGGAGTAAGGAAAGGAGGGTATTAAGAAGTTTGTTAAATAGAAAACGGAAGAAAAAACGCATTGCAGTGTCTTGCAGTGACGCACGATTAATCAAAGCTCGCTTACAAATTTTTAACGCAATCGTATACCTTTAAGTGTATTTTTTATACTAAAAGTGAATAGATTTTAATGAAACTTATATTAAATTAAAGTACACTCTTTTGTCTACACGTAGCATACTTTGTCGAGTTATAAATTGATATGCAATTAATTTTTTAATTAATAATTAATTTAATATAAAAATCATTGAAATCTATTTGCGAAAAGTATAAAAAATATTTACCGAAACTTTTCAAAGAAATTGCAAAGATGCACAATTTACAGCATTGCATTCTCTGACATTTTTTGAAGTTTACATGCTAAATTTATAACTCGATATAGTATTCTACGCTTAGACAAAAGAGTGTATTTTAATTTAATATAAGTTTCATTAAAATTTATTCACTTTTAGTATAAAAAATATTTACCGATACTTTTCAAAGAAATAGTAAAGTTGTACAATTTACAGCATTGCAATCTGTGATTTGATTTTCTCCACTGATTGGGAGGGGTTGCGTATGGCTGTTTGTGTCTGTGCCCGAGAATTTATTCTTTTCAACGTTGTTTAAATAGTAATTWGATATTCTATAGAATATCAAAGTATTATGTTCAATGCCTAGTAAAAACT